ACCAGGCCTGAGAAGACCTTCCAGACTTGTCAGCTGGATCCTGGGCTTGCAGCTGAGCCTCTTTCTAAACTGCTGTCACCATGGACTCCCTGCGCAGACCAAACATCCCTTTTGTGTGTTTGTAATTTACTTCCTATTCTCTTCTCGCTCAACATACAGATCGCCAGCCAGAGTGTGTTGGCTTTCATTCTTTGCACTGGTAATTCTGCAACACTTGCTGCAACTACTACAACCTGCTAATTATCTTTAGGGCTCTGTGGATTATTCAAGAGTCAAGGTCATCTCATTCTTTCTGGCATCAGCTCATCTGGAGGTGTTTTAAAGCCTTTTCGACTTCTCTTCCACACATAGTTTAAAGCTTTTCTTATTTTAAGCTTTGCATTGCTATATTTCTCTAAATGATTCTGTACCTCACTTTTCTGAACTCTCCTCATGTAGGCAGCTTAAAATTCCTTGATAATTTCTATTGATTTTCAAGGAGCAGATTTTCCAACCCTATCATTTTTCTAAGGATAATTTTCAAAGCTTCACTCAACTGCCTAGATATATGTCAACAATTAACAAAAGGTAGTAAACAAGAATACTTAGACCTTTCCAATTTCTTCTCTTAAAATTATAGACAAATATCACTTTTCATAACAACTATCTGATAATGCATAAATGTTCTTTGGATAGACTCGATCATTAAAACTAAAACCAAAAATATAATCTCCATAGTTTAAATCTATACTCTATTATAAGCATTAATATTTCTACTTAATTTTAGGTTATTTGGGGGGAAAGTATTCTTTTGGTAAAATGACTATCACAGAATATTACTCTGAACACATCCTCAACCAAAAAAAAAAAAAAAAAATGCATTGATAATGCTAAATTCTCCAGACACATTTAAAGACAATACAGCCTTTCATCTAATTTGCTAGGGTGCCAGTTCAAATTTCCATTAGGAATGTGATTTCTAAGTGTTTCTTTATTACGGGACTGTGTTGAGACAAATCATTTGTAACACTACACTTTCGAATGGATACAAAATACTAAAAAGGCAATGACCCACTACTCTGATTCCTCGATGTAATCTTTTTAAATTGGGTTGCAGCATAATTTTTGGAAAAGCTTTTCACATTACTCCTGTGTTTTGGTTAAGTTTGTTCTCCATCTGAGAATGGCATATGTTCAGTTGTTTCACTACTGCTTGCTGATGGGCCAAATGATAGAGCTTTAATAGAAACATAGCCAACTCCTTAAGTAAGGTACACCGTTCAGATTAACTCTACAAACACATCACCCGCTTCATTTATCTTTCTCTTAAAAAAAAAAAAAAAGGCAATCCAAAGAATAGAGTGATTAACTTTGGTAGAATAACTTACAACATAGTGCTTTTTGTAGTCTTCGAATTTTGATTGCTGTACGGTAGGCAGAGAAACGTACATTATTCAGGTCAGCTGAAACGGAAAAAGGAACAATTCACAAGCATGCTTATTATTTAACTTATATTGAATGCCAAGAATGCATTTGCTCACTTCAGATAATGGAAAAACACTATGTCTGTCTGAAATAAAGTCTTCTCCTAAATTCTACAACATGTATTTAAGAAAGTAATTAAATGACTATTAGCACCATGTTGAGATCTATCGCAAAGCAGTGCTAAGCAGAGAAGAAAGCATTTTCAAATAGGTGTCAGGGCTCAGAACATGATACCCCAAAGTATGGTGTCTTGGCACACTAAGGAGCTTGGAAGGCCTCAGAAGCAAGGTCTTCCTGATCTTCTTCCATCCTCCTGTTCCCTGTCCCTCTTTCTCCCTTCCAAGTGATGCACAGAAACCAGAACTACTCTTCCACAAGGTGAAACATAGAAACTTGAACTTCTCTTCCTCAAAGCAAAC